CTGATTCCACTTTTTTACCACCAGATTTTACACCCTTCGTGACCTAGAAATGTCTGATCATGTACATACCCGTGATCCGATGCAATGGGGCCACTGCCCCGATGGTCCAGAACTGGCTTGGACCAGGCCAGTACACCGTGGGCCACAAAATGATTCAGTGGTCTAATCCTTTTAAATCAATGCATAAGTAATACATGAATACATATAGATTGTGTAAACAATATGGAAGAATTTATAAAAAGCAATTCAATAAGGTATTTAGTACATAAAGTACAAAATCATGGAACTGAAAAAGTATGCTTATGTACTCCACTTTATGCGTATGTATCCACACTTAAAGCTTGTCAGCCCTGCATTTGGCATAGAGACTGCAACAGCTGTGACAAAGCAACACACCTAGATACACATAGATAAAGGCTATTGGGAAAAAAAGAAAATCCCCAGCAAAAGTGGTGTGCCTGGTGGGGGGGGGGTGGAGGTCCAAATACTACAACATGGTCAGTGGGCTTGAAAGGGGTAAGTACTAAACCTTCTCGAAACCATTATTTTAGCCTTACCCTCTCTTACAAGAACACTTGATGGAACAGCTGGTGGGAGGTATCACTGATCATCGCTTGCCATAGTAAACATAGGAGCAGTAGTGTTGGCATAACGCCTGCATTTCTTACTCTCCACGTGACTCGCATGTGTGCTGGGTTGTGCAGGGGTTGGCGCTGTACTGCTGTAATCACGCAAATGGTGGTCGACGCGTGCCCCAATGTGAGACTCGTGCTATGGAGGTTGGTGCAAATTGTGGGTCCTACCTGTTGATGACGCCTAATGTAGAGTAGTGCCTATGAGGGTTCAAAGCAGGGAGTGAGTTTAACTATGGAACATCTATTTCTATAGGAGAGCAGCTCTCTGAGCTGAATTTTAAAGCTGATATCCAGGTTTTATTTAACTTTAAAATATTTCATCTGGTCCAAACTCTTTACTTCCCTAACAGTTGCAATGGCTGTGTGTGCTGTATAAACTGTATGTAGCCTTAGTTACATGCAGTACAGAATTGCAGAAATTTCCCATCCCCTCCTGTGAATACAAAGCTTCCTCTGATTGGCAGTGGTAGCCTGACAATGTCACAAGCTCCGCCTCAGAATACAAGGCTCCCATTAATAGGCCGAGTTTCATTTTGTATAAGCAATGGGGCGGTAAGGTCTGATTTATACAGTACTCCCAGCTACAGCAACTCTTAGGCCCAAATTTACACTATATGCCATGACAGACGTTTTACTGCATTGTAGAACGTCTGTCACTAAAGGGACGCACAGCATTGTGCCACCTAACAGTGCAATGTATGAAGTGTACGTTTTGTACACTTCGAATAAAGCTGGTACAAAAAAAGACCACATTGCCTCCTGGCCAGCCGGCAACGCAGAGCGGCTGGAGCACTGCTTCGTTCTGGCTGCTCTGAGATTTACTGGATTTTATGTGTGAATTCACTCTTGGTGAAGTACATAGTTTGTTTGGACCAGTTTGGTCATACCCACTCAGTCACTATGAGATTTGTTGTATTCTGAAAAAAAACCTGGTTGATCCTGCTGCTCTGTCTCCACCTTCTGTACATGTCCCCAATTCAGCTAGGGATTTTGCAGCTGTAGTGGCAACTCTGCACATTCTCAGTTTTCACTGAGTTTCTATGTCGAGCATTTACTACCCATAACATCTGAGCAGCACATGTGACTATAGAGTCACACATGTGGGCGTATACACAGTGGTGAATAACAGCCCACTCCTTCCTCCTCCTTTTCCTCCCTGCCCACTAACCAGCTAAACACAAGGACAGGATATTACATCTTGATTGATGGAGGCACTACCACCTCTTATTCTAACACACAGGCTGGAGGGGCACGACTCAGCCTGTGACTGGCAGAAATACACACACACCATGGTATTTTCTCAAAATAATAAATATTTTATTTCAAATATATATTCGTATGCCAATTTAAAACTGTTTTGATATTATTTATTTTTACTCTGCATTCCAAAGGCTGTTTTTTGTCATCAACAAACCCTTAAGAAAAATAAAGATTTCTAGTTTGTGGTCTGTGTCAAAAAATAAGAGCAAAAATTGACTGCTTTAGATTTTATGATCAGCAGAAGATTGTTGCCACGTTTCAGACTTAAAATGGACCTTCATCCTTTAAGTGGTTATAAACCTCTGGTATATATGAACAGAGCATATACCTCTGTAGTGTGTACTACTGGTGCACCAAAATGAAAATTCTGCTGCTGAAACTGAAAAGTCAGGATGCACTTGGCCAAAAACTAAAGTGAACGATTTTTTAAAAATGTGTGTGTGTGTGTATTCATCTTTTTATTTAATATCATGAATTTAAATGTATATGAATTTAAACAAAATCAATCCAGTAACGTAAAATACCTTTTATTGGAAGTAACACACAAAAATTGGACAGAAAATAAAGAGAAATAATATAAAATTAAAAAAAAAATATGCTCCACATTAGAATGGTAAAGAGCCTCTGTTTATGTAAACTTTTCACTTTTTATTAATTATTGTGCAATACAATAAATAGAAATACCCAACAGAATGGCAAAAGGCCTCTAATCTTGTCTGATGTAAATGAAAATCGTAACTATTTTCCTTTTTAATTGCAAAGTTACTGTGCAAAACAGTAATAAACGCAGGGCTGCTGTTAGAAACCACAGGGCCTGATACAGCCAACCTGACAGCCCCCCCCCCCCCCCCAAAAAAAAAACAAAACAAACAGTCACCGATCACTCATGTTCATTCAAGAAAGGAGGGGGCTAGTAAATTTGTCATTTACTGGACCCTCCCCCCCCACTCTCCATCCTGAAGGATCCTATTGTGTGCTTGTAGCTGCTGGTGGGAAAGAGAGGAAGGAAGCCGGCAGCACTGCGAGGGTTGGGGGCACACAGGGGGGCCTGGGCAGCAGGAGGAAACATATGGTGCACAGGGAGTGTGATGGGTGCTCTGGGGGGCAATTACTGGAACCGATCCCCTGTATGGCTCTATGCAGCAGCTGAAAGCCTGCGGGAGGGAGGAAAGAAGAGTGCTTTTAGCTGCTGCAGAGATAACCATGCAGGGGTTCGGTTCCTGTAATCTCCCCCCCCCCCCCCCCCCCCGCCATGTCAATCACCCTCCATGCCCACATCCGATTCACCCTACTGCCTGGGCCCCCCTACAGGAAGACTGATGGTACCCCCTTATCCATGGCCCTGAATAAACAGAACTAAAGCAGAATAGCAGAAGGCCATTATTCTGTTTCATGTAAACCTATTCATTGAAATAAATTGTGCAAAATAATAATAGAATTAACCAACAAAATAGCAAAGAGCCCATCCTCTATTCTGTTATGTAAACTTATTTCAACTTTAATTGAAACTTCTAGTGCAATGCAACTAGACAATTGTAACATAGAAAACTGGACTGCTTTCTATTTAAGTTAACGTCCCAGCTTTAAGAACAAAAGTTACTCCGCTTTCTTACAGAAGAGACTACTCCTCTTCTCATCAAGAATATGAGATGCTATACTGAATAGTCTGACTCTCTGTACTGGTGCTTGGGGCAGATAAATATTTGCGTGCAATCTGTGGGGCGAGGGTTCTCCTTTGGATAGTCGGTCCTGTGGGATCCCCTGTCACCCTACCCATCCCCCGATCCCATCACCAACTCCCTGTGCAGCAGCATCCTGGGAGACCTGGCTGTGGGGACATTGCCAGCCACACTGGAGGTGTGGGCTTAGGCCGGGGAAGGGCAAGGCCCTGGTAGTGTGGGCTCCCTCCCAGTCTGTGTCCTCCCCTCCTGCAGTGCAGTCTGGGGCTAGGGGGGCTTTGTCCTACTGTGGGGGTAGGTGTCTGCTATTGATTGTGGGCCTAACTGGACTTGGGGGGCGTGGTCCATGCTGCCTTGTGGCTTGCCTGGCCGACGGCCATGATATTATAGCCACGGCGGTCATTTTCATGGAGGTTTTTGGCTGGCAGCCTATAGCGTCAGGCACGGCAGCCATTCTCCTGGAGTTTTCGGCCTGTGTCCAGCGGCAATTTTTTTGGTGTCAGAGCTGCTATCAGGCGATGGAGGCTGGCTGAGGGAGGTCTGAGGCAGGGACTTCTCTCGTGTACCTTGGGTGCGGCTACTACCATTAAGCATGCGCCAAGGCATCCTCCCTGCGCAGCTGCGCCTCCCCCCTGAAGGAGAAGGGGGCAGTGCGACCCACGTCTCCCCAGTAAGAATGTAGAAGGGTGGAACCATGCATGGGCAGCTGGTAGCAGCTATTTTCGGTTTTCATTTCAGCCCTCTACTGTTTCGGATTACAATCTGCTCCCTGCTTTGTTGTGCAGTGTGTGACATCAGATCCCCACCCCATGCCAGCTCACCTCCCCCTTTCAAGGATAACTAGCATCTCGGGTGTGGACATTTTTGAAAAAAACATCGCACCGCATTACATTCTTTCTTGGCCAGGAAGTGACACCACATCACTACCCTCCAGCAGCCACTGACTAGTCCCAGGCCTGCAGATGGACAAGTGGAGCCTTGGATACATAGTGGGAGGGCTTAGGCTGGCAACATAGTGTGCTGTGTGGAAGCAATCATGCGGAAGCACTGCCGCCCGAATGCTTCCACCAGACAGGTGAGCCCTGCTGCTTGCCCGCAGTAGGGCTGAAGGTTAAAAGAAACTACCTGCCCGGTGCCTGGAACTACGTATATTGGGCGATACAAATTGAACATTCATGCATCTATTCAATTGATTTTGGTATAGCGGCTGTAGAACATGGCCATTTTAAAAAATGGTCAGGATAGGTAGCTCACATATTTTTATCTATGCCGTTTTTGTCGGTTGTGTATACTGGCAAGCACTGCATAGCAGCACTACTCATCAGATGTACTAATGTTCTTCATAAACTATTCATGTTCTGTATTGCAAATTTATGAATAAATGCTTGACAACTGTTTTCTTTTTGTGGCTTGTTTTGTTTGACAGGTCAAGGCTTTAAAAGAGAAAATTGAACTTGAGAAGGGGAAGGATCAGTTTCCAGTTGCCGGCCAAAAATTAATTTATGCAGGTAATTCATGGGCATTTTATTAACAAAATGGCTTCTTAGAATCTTTCCAATCTGTAACCTACAGTTTGTGACTGTCTGTTTTGCTTTTGTGAGAACCGAGCTCTCAAACACCCTGTGGGAGATTTACTAAAACTGGAGCACTTAGAATCTGGTGCAGCTGTGCATAGTAACCAATCAGCATCTAACGCCAGCTTCTTCAGTTAAGCATTGACAATAAAACCTGGAAGCTGATTGGGTGTTATGGACAGCTAGACTCTGTGTGCTGCAGTTTTATAATTTCCCTCCCCTCCCAATGTTCATTCTTGGTTAGATGGAAAGTATAGTGTATTTTGGTGAGCTTATATTATGGAATTATTGCAGTTTTAATTATACACAGTGGATATAAAATGTCTACACACCTCTGTTTAAAATGTCAGGTTTCTGTGATGTAAAAAAATTAGACAAAGATAAATCATTTCAGAACTTTAGCCATGTTTTAATGTAACCTATAAACTGTACAACTCAGTTGAACAACAAACTGAAATCTTTTAGGTGGAGGGAAGTAAAATAAAAAACTAAAATAATATGGTTGCATAAGTGTGCACACCCTTAAACTAATACTTTGTTGAAGCACCTTTTGATTTTATTCCAGCACTCAGTCTTTTTGGGTATGAGTCTATCAGCATGGCACATCTTGCTTGGCAATATTTGTCCACTCTTCCTTGCAAAAACATTCTAAATCTATCAGATTACGAGGCCATCTCCTGTGCACAGCCCTCTTCAGATCACCCCACAGATTTTTGATGGGATTCAGGTCTGGGCTCTGGCTGGGCCATTCCAAAACTTTAATCTTCTGGTGAAGCCATTCCTTTGTCGATTTGGATGTATGCTTTGGGTCGTTGTCATGCTGAAAGATGAAGTTCCTCTTCATGTTCAGCTTTCTAGCAGAAGCCTGAAGGTTTTGTGCCAATATTGACTGGTATTTGGAACTGTTCATATTTCCCTCTACCTTGACTGACTCAGGCCCCAGTTCCAGCAGAAGAAAAACATCCCCAAAGCATGATTCTGCCACGGGGGTGTGGACATTTTTGAAAAAACTACTTGTCCAGGTACTAAATCGGTATCCCAGTCTCCTTGTCCTGATAAAAATTTTAACCAAAACCGTATTTAAATCTGCTTTAAGTAATGTCTAGGGCTTTTAAAAACAAAAGGGACTTTATGGCTACATTAAAAGTTTTTTTTATATTTTTAACATTGCACTGTATATTTCTTTCTCCCATGCCTGCGTCCAGCACACTTCACCCGGGAACTAGTTTCTGATTGGATGCTCGTCAGGAATGGGGAATGTTGGACTTATCCTTTATCCCTTTCGCTGCTGTTTTTCACACGTTTAAAAAATCATTTAAGGCCTGAAGATTACACAAAACTCCCAACATTCTATATTTTATGAAATCATAGACCCTAGAAAATAAAATAAGGGTAGTTCCAATGTTTTATGTCACATGATAGTATCCTTTTTCTTGTTTTTGTAAAATATAAAAGAGGCAGGGATGTTGGATTCCTATCTCCCGGGACATGCTTTTTTTTCTACCTTTTAGCCCTGCTGCAGGCAAGCAGAAGGGCTCACCTTTCAGGTGAAGTAACGGCTTCCACACAGTGCCATCCTTTTTTTATTTATTTATTTTTTAAATTAAAGTTACACCCAAGCACATACCATATCCCCCCCCAAAAAAATATGGAGGTCCCCACCCTCACATATACGCACGTACAAACGTAAAAGCCCACGCTGGGGTGCCTACGCATGAAACCGTCGATTGCGATACACATATCGCCGTGCACACCAGAATGAGAGCAATAATTCTAGTACCAGACCTCCTCCGTAACACTAAACTAGTGACCTATAAGAAGGAGCTTTAAAAATGGCAACCTATAGAAAATATGGGGTACTGACGTTCATCGCCATTTCACAAGCGTGCATAGATTTAAGGTTTGACAAGTTGGATATCTATTTACTCGCTGCAACCTCATCTTTTATATTTTATAAGAAAATAGGGTAAGTTATTGTTTTTTTGTGCTCTAGGGTGTCTGCTTTCAGAAAATATATAATGTTAGGAGGTTTTATGTAATCTTCAGGCCTAAAATGATTTTTTAAATGTGTGCAAAAAAATGCAAAAACGGCTCTGGCAGTGAAAGGGATAAAGTATAAGCCCTGATGAGCAGCCAATCGTTGTTCATCACACTGTAAGGTCTCCCCCCTTCCTGCTAGTCCCCAGGTGCGGTGCTGGAGACAGGCAGGGGGAAGGAGGAGATAAGCAGTGCAGTGTTAAAAATATTACACGTTTAAGTCGCCATAAAGCCTCTTTTTTGTTTTTAAAAGCCCCAGACATTCCTAATAACAGCTCCGATTTAAATACAGTTTTGGTTAAAGTTATTTTTTTATCTGGACAAGTAGATTGTCATGAGGAAGTATATTGGGGCTCCGATTTAGTCCCTGGACAAGTAGTTTTTTTCACAAATTTCCACACCCCTGCGAGGTTGCATCAAGGATAGATTTGCAACATGTCAAACCTTAGATTTGTGCGCACTCGTGAAATGGCAACAAACTTTAGTACCCTATATTTTCTATAGTTATAGGTCATCAGTTTAGTGTTATGGAAGTCTTGTGCTAGAATTATTGCTCTCATTCTGGTGTGCGCGGCGATATTTAACGTGTATCGCAACCGTTGTTTTCATGCATAGGCACCCCAGCACTTTTACGTTGGTACATACATGTATGGGGGCTTTGAAACATTTTGGGGGGTGTTATTTACTTGTGTGTAACTTACATTTTTTAAGAATTAAAAAAACTTCTATGCAGAGCCTTACAAATGGCAGCGCTCGCTCCCTCTACCTGGAACTGCAAAATCACGTGTGTGTGTGTGTATATGTGTGTATATATATATAAAAAAATAAAATTGTGATTTTGCACACCCGTGCTGCCCTGTAGCAGTATTTCTGCTATAGGACGGCACAGAAGCAGTTAATGTTGCTGTAGGCCTCTTGGCAGCCTCCCAGACAAGTTTTCTTCTCATCTTACATCCATTTTGGGGGGATGTCCAGTTCTTGGTAATGTCACTGTTGCACCATACTTTCTCCACTTGCTGATGACTGTCTTAATTGTGTTCCATGGTATATCTAATGCCTTGGAAATTCTTTTGTACCTTTCTTCTGACTGATACCTTTTATTAATGAGGTCCCTCTGATGCTTTGGAAGCTCTCTGCGAACCATGGCTCTTGCTGTAGGATGCGACTAAGAAAATGTCAGGAAATACCTAATAGAACAGCTGAACTTTATTTTGGGTTAATCAGAGGCACTGTAAACGATGGCAGATGTGTACTGACGCCTAGTTAACATGATTTTGAATGTTATTGCTTAATTCTGAACACAGCTACATCCACAGTTATAAGAGGGTGTGCACACTTATGCAACCTCATTATTTTAGTTTTTTTCTCCCTCCCCCAAAAGATTTCAGTTTGTTTTTCAATTGAGTTGTACAGTTTATAGGTCACATTAAAGGTGGAAAAAGTTCTGAAATGATTTATCCTTGTCTCATGTTTTTACATCACAGAAACCTGACATTTTAACAGGGGTGTGTAGACTTATAGACTACTTCTATCCAAAAGAATTTCAAAATTATGGAGCAGAAAGCCTCAAAGTATTTAACTATTGATTATTTTATATTGAATATATAGATCTGTTGATTAACTGCTCAGTGCATTTATGCTCCCTCAATTACTGTTGAGAGATCAGCCACAAAGACAGTGCAAAATGTACAAATATGCTGACTCTGACTTGCATTGTCGGTATCAGCGGTAAGCTGCAGTGAGTTTGTGGCACCACGAATCAGGAAGTTTGTATTGGTAAAAAATGACTCTTCCTTCTACATATACAGGATTATTTTAAGCTGTTAAAATTAAGTAAAAATACACTTGTATTTTGTTACTGTCTGCCCTTCATAGTGCAGCCTCCTGAGAAATACTTAGTGATTGTAAAGGTTTAGATTTTTTTTTTTCTTTTAAATAACAAACATGTTATACTTGCCTGCTTTTTGTAATGATTTTGCACAGAGCAGCCACAGTCCTCTTCTAAGGTCTAACTCCAGGCCCCTCTCTCCCCGCTGAATGACCCCAGAGCAAGCTGCTTGCTCTGGAGGCACTTGTGAGTGCTCACTCCTGAGCTGCCTCTGCCTGTCTGAGAGACACGTGGCCTTGCCCCCCACGCCCTCCTCACTGGCTTTGATTGACAGCTCGCTCTGCTATGTCTCCAATGCCTCCAATGAGGAGGCAGAGATCTGGGAGAATGTCAGCTCTCATGCATATCTTGGGATTGGGGTCAGGTGGGGGTATAAGGGGAAGGGGTGGGGGCAGCTGCACACTTAAAGTTTTTTTATCTTCATGCATAGAATGCATGAAGGTAAAAAACCTTCAGCATTTAGAACCACTTTAAGAGGAGCTTCAGCCATGTGTGTGTGAAATTTAGGTCAGCAGATTTAAAATCTGTAGCTGCTGACTTTCAATAAACAGACCCTCATCTGTCCAGGGATCCAGTGCTGTCCTCGCCAGAGCTGGTTTCTTAGCCAGTCTTCAGTCCCCGGTGCCGGCATCTTAAAGTGGAACTTTAGTCAGAAAATTAAGTCTTGCTAGATCACTTCAGGCTGGCCCCTTTTGCAGGTATAGCTTTGTAAAACATTAAAAGTATGTGCCTATGCTTTAGGCACTGCTGAATTTGTAGAGGCCGATCTGCTGACAGGTTTAGTTCTGCTTAAACCTTTAGACTATTTAACCATTTCAAAAAACCACTTTCCTGGCATTCCAGGAATGTAACTGTCACATGTGCTTGTGTGCTCAACCAAACTGTCAAACCATGAAATGAGTGGAGTTATAAATGATCACATGTAGCACCATGGCAGTTGCAGATCAGATGGCAGCTTCCTTGGCTGAAAAGGATAGAAGGGCTTAGTTCTGCTTTAACTGCCGCTCAACAAAATGGCAGCCTTCAGCAAAAAGAAACAGGAACAAAGCTTGAGGCAATTTATAGTGCACACTCATTTTGGTAGCATAATTATTAATATAGAATGTATGCTCATTTCTAAAGAACATTATTTTTGATCGATTGTCAGTAAAGTTCTGCTTTAACTATGGGCAGCTGGCTGTGACTCCTTTCAGCTTCATTACTTGATTACTAGCACTTTGGATGTGTTTGGTACGTGCACAGGGAGGCACCTTGTATTTTACTTTTACGTTATTTTAGGTATATGTAAACATATTTGAGAATGAGCACATTAATTTGTCACTTTATTTTTGGGTTGGCGCTGAGGCACTAGTTAACATAATTCTTACAGGTGAGCTGTTTTCTGGTCTTCTGCTGGAAAACTGCTTACTCATAGGAATAAATGCACACTGTGAAGATGAGCAAATGGGGTGACATTTTAAAAGGCTATGCTGCACAGTGGGGTTCACTTAAACAGGGTGAGTAAGGTATGTATTTCTCATAGCAGGCTGCACAAAAGGGAATGGGCAGTGAAAAAAGTACACTTTCACTAAAAGCATACTTCTACTTTTGAACTCGTTGAGATCATTTGAATAGGTTAAATATTCCTGTAATGTTTTTAAATATACAGGCAGTTGACTGATAATTCTTGTTTTAGCTCTTTTAACATGTAGTACTGTTCTTCACATGGGGTAACATGTAATTTCCACCACAAGTACATCACAAGGTTGGGTTATATTGCTTGGACAGCTGTGTTTTAATATTGGTTTAAATTAGAATTCTAAAAAAAGCCGTTGGAACTTTGTTCAGCGCTCAAACAGTGTGAACGGATGTTTCCCGATCTACTCTTGCAGTAAGAATTACAATTGGTAAAAGGAAGTTTTAAAATGTTTAAAATGTATTAATTGTGTAGGATGTGTTTTCCAGTTTATAGAGTGAATTTTAATATTAGTCTTCACATCTTGCCAGGTAAAATCCTTAATGATGATACAGCACTTAAAGAATACAAAATTGACGAGAAGAACTTTGTAGTGGTTATGGTTACAAAAGTAAGTGTAAGGGATTTTTTTTCTTTTTTTTTTTTTTTAAACCTTTTCCCCCACAAGCCCAATTTTTAGAAGTGTTTTATATTCTTTTACTTGGCTAGATCATATATATATATATATATTTTTTTTTTGTATTTTCTTTTCTGATTTTGTTGTCTAGCTGTTGCTAGATGACTAATATTTTTTTCACTGAAGACTCCCTTTCTTCATATTTTAACAAAGAAAACAAATTGGTAAATAGGTCTCCCATTTGTCTGTTGATAGCAAATATGAGATAAAATTCCTGATTGCCACCATCCCTATACAACTGGAAAATGTATAGAAAAAAACCCTAGACTAGATGGGACTTTGAAGGAATCATACATAAAATTTAAATTGTGAAATCTTTATTTTATCAACATTTATGGCATAACACATCATATTACAAAACAATTACTTTATACATAATATCATATCACCATGAAAGGATGTCATGCAATTGTTAAACAATGGTCCTGATTAGTTACAGAGATGATTCTGCGGAAACTGGCGCGTTTTGGAGTAATATAACTCCTTCCTCAGGGATAGCAAACACTCTGTGTAAGGGTGATATAGTTTGTCAGATTGAAAATACATTTATTTATTACATACTGTATACACGCAAATAGTGTCTACATGGTTCCAAATGTATAGGTACACTCACAATATGAGAAGATCAAAAAGTGTATGAGTTTTCAATCGTATTAAAAAACAGACTCCAAAATGTCAGCACCTCCCGACCAGGGCACCTGCGGACACTGGGCACCTAAGGATCCCATCAAGAGTGAACACGGGCCAGCAAGATCATTACAAAAAGAGGATTTACATAATAAAAAATGTCTAATATGTAGACCACATAGTGGAAGAAAAAGGTAGCCGTAGAGTGACTAGGCGGGAACATCCACCATTATACTTTTCATCGGTCTCAATGTTCCGAAACGGATATATTGGCATCTACATAAATAAACCATAGGCTGTATATACAGAGGTATCCATGAATCTCTGTCCAGTCACACCATGTGTCCTTTTTAAAGACAACATGAAGGAACTAATTATCTTTTAAGCCCAAAAAAGAGGCATACACTTCCAAATTCCACAGAAGTAGATAAGCTTACTATTAAATGTAAGAGTCTATGTAGTGCTTACCATCACGGACAATGTCATGGCATACTCGGTAGTCATAAGAGATCGTTTGGGGCCCAGTGAGTGCAGCAATGTGTGGCCCAAGTAGCTGGGGGTACTGGCTTCCTTTGCCACTCCCCCTTCCTTTGGTGGCTGTGTCTGTCTTCTCAGCGTGTTGGCAGTGCGCCGATGTGTGGCGTCACTCCGCACTATGTAGCGTGGTGGCGCCGCGCACCGACACATTGGGGGCGGTGCCGGTGATGTTCCTCATGGAGCAGGTGTGGGATTTGTGGTTGGGCTCCATTTTCCTTTCTCAGTTCCTTTGGGGGCGGTTATCATTTTCAGTATCTTTCAGTCAGGGCCCTATATAACTGAGGCTTCCTTTTCACAATTTGACACTCCTTACTTAGAGGTGCCAGTTTGGCTCTCTTATGACTACCGGGTATGCCATGACATTGTCTGTGATGGTAAGCACTACATAGACTCTTATATTTAATAGTAAGCTTATCTACTTCTGTGGAATTTGGAATGTGTATGCCTCTTTTTTGGGCTTAAAAGATATGTATTCATTAGTTCTTCATCTATGTTGTCTTTTTAAACTGGACAGAGATTCATGGATACTTCTGTATATATGGCCTATGGTCTATTTATGTAGATGCCAATATATCTGTTTGGGAACATCGAGGCCTCTAAGTATAATGGTGGATGTTCCCACCTAGTAACTCTGCAGCTCCCTTTTTCTTCCACTATGTGGTCTACAAATGTAGACATTTTTTTAATGTAAATCCTCTTTTTGCAGTTATCTGGCTGGCCCCTGTGTTCCGTCTTGATGGGATCTTTGGGGGGATTGTAGAGGAAGCAAATCTTCCATTTTTAGACGAAGTTCGACTTTCAAAGTCCGAACCAAGCTCATGACCACAGCAGCAGCCGTGAGCTTGCTTTAACTCCATGTTTACCATGCCATTCATAACACGTAACTTGGTAGATATTGGTAATTGTCATTTTTCTTGTTACCATCCGCATGTAGAATTTCAGCTTCCTCTGTGCCAACTTGAAACTGCCACATTGCTACATTTGGTGTTAAAGTGGTGATGCAAGGATCTGAATATAGAAGTATTTGCCTAATTGTTTTCCAGGACAGCTATCTCTGAGATCATTGGCTTCTCCTTCAACGAAAGTGCAAACCAAAAATAGGCTAAATTATTGTTCCACTCCCCCATGTCCTCCGGTTCATAAAACATGCATGAGGAAAAATCCATGATTACCCAACCCCCTTGTCTCTGTCACTCTCTCTTCCAGGGGTACCACAGATTCAGCTACAGCCCTGTCTCAGGGTCTTATGGTACACCCAAGCCCTCAACTCTGTCATCTGACAGTCTGGAGACAGGAGGAACAGGGTGTCCTGAGAAAATAGTTACTTATCTGTAGGATAAATATATTTAATAGATTCCTAGTAGGATTCATGCTTAGGTGTGGAAAGCATTTTTTTTTTTTTTTTTTACTTAGCGGTGGAAAAAGACTAGGCTTAAGCTGGGTACACACTAAAATTTTTTTTTTTTTTTTTTTTTCGTTCAACTCAGTGGGCTGAATGAAAAAAAACTGACAGATCACCTTACTAACCGTTAGTACAGCGATCTCCCCCGCTTTGCCTTTGTGTCTCCCCCTGCCAAAACACATTGCTCAGCGCTCGCAGCCATTGGCTGCTCGTGTTTTATCATGCCCGGTTGACAGAAGCTGTAGAACAGAAAGCTGTACACGTGGACTGAAAGTTAGCCGGTTCTTTTCAGCCTGTGTACCCAGCTTCACTTATGATCTTAGATTTCCTACAATTTTGGGTAGATTTGGGTTTGTCACCTAGTTTTTTTTTTTTTTTTTTTTTTTTTTTTAAAGTACAGAGTTGATTTTTTTTTTTTTTTTCAGTTTTATTTGAAAGTTTGGTTGGCAGTGGATCCCCCTTTTCAAGAAATTCATTTTTTTTTTTTTTTTTCTATCCAGAGAACACTGCTCATCACAGATTACTACTGCTCACTATGATATATAGATAGATACATTAAATGTATTAGAAGATTTAGTACCACTAACAAATTGAAGCCAAAACTGCAACTTACACTTTATAATCAGTTAAAGCAAAGTGATGTATGTGTTAACCACTACTCTTTTAGTGCATTGGGATACCATCCATTTAAATGAATGGCACTTCAGTGTGCTGTATATCAGTCTGAAGCCAGCTAGAGTTTCAATCCACTGGTGCTTGCCCAAGAAATAAATTCTGGGTGGGGTTGTCTTATTGTATTTACTGTTTATGTCTAAGTAATATATGATCATTTATTTCTTTATATTTTTCCTGTTTAGCCAAAACCAGCATCAGCCCCCTCAGTACCAATTCCAGCACCAACTCAGCCAGTTAGCACTGCTACTGCTACTGCTGCCCCTTCATCACCACCACAGACATATACACCGATTTCCCGAACCAATGCACCTGGGTCCCTTCCATACCCCTTACCTAATATCCCTTTACCTAGTCCAGTAGTTACTACTGAACCCCAGACAACCACAGCTAGTACAGAAGAGAAACCTGAAGAGAAGACAGAGAGTCCTGAAGAGACAGTGAGCCCTTCATCAACGGAGGGCAGGTATATGAAATTCATTACATTTTTGTACATGATTCTATTTGCATGATTTTAAAGTGATGATGTGCTTCACTAAATATGTATTGTCTATTTAAAGTGTCCATATTCACTTTAAACCTACTGCCCCTTAGGAACGTGTCTGCTTACATATGCTCATATTTTGTAGACCTCCTCAAGAGGCCAAAATATTTGGGAGCTCTAAAATCCAAGTGTCAACTTCCGTTTTCAAAGTTGCATTTGACCTCCCATACTGCGCCTCACTATTGGTCATTAAAGCTGTCCATCCATGTTGTAGGCTATACCGAGACTTAGGATGAGATGAGCACACTTTCAGGAATTGAACATATTTGACCTCTCTAAGCTTTGGGGTTCCCAGGAAGCCCCAGAGGGCATCTTTCAAAAATTTAGCACTCACACATGATCACAGATTCTCTTTAAAAGTGCAGCCAATGTAAGCAGAAACTTTGAACTTCATATAGTAGGCAATTAAAATTATGCAACAATATTTTCATGCTTGCCTATTCATGGCCCTAACTTTTTTGTTAGTATTTTAGAAGTGTTATTCACTCATGTTTTCCAGAAAATTTTTTTTTACAGTTTTTTTATTGCTTATAATATGCAATGCATAGACTTCTTTCAATTGCACCACTGTGCAAATGCTTTTATGTAAAAGTCCTACAAATCTGAAGAGACACACTCATAACTGTTACATATCTAAAAGACCTGTGTGTGTTCTTGACACCCTTTGGCTAAGAAGTTATAAATTCCTGGTGAGTAGAAGAGAGAGAGCACTTAAAGCTAAAGCTGCACTTTACAGCTTCAGGAAAATGTCTTGAAAGTGTCGGGAAGTGCTTTAAAGGGGTTCTAAAGGCAGAAGGTTTTTTTTTGTTTTTTTTAACCTTCTTGGATTCTACGCATGAAGGTAAAAAAAACCTGGGTGCAGCTCCTGCCCCCTTACACTTACCTGAGCCCGCTGTCGGCGGACCCAAAAAGAAGAGGATCTAAGTTGCTTTGTGCAAAACCATTGCACAAAGCAGGTAAGTATGACATATTTGTTTTGTAAAAAAAAAATTACCTTTTTAAAATCATTTTAAGTACTACCTTTTGACCCATGCCATTACATTGCCCTAAGTCCTGAAAGCTTTTTTTTGTTTGTTTGTTTTCTTTTTTCCCTGCAGTGTACCCAGTGACTCTTCTCGGCCATCACTTTTTGAAGATGCAACTAGCGCACTTGGTAAGTTCTTTTATTTTCTTTTTTTTTTTTTTTTTCCCCAAAGGAACAAAGACCATAATATTTTGTTCTAGTAGTTGAAATTTGGAAAAAGACAGCTAGCTTCTGTTCCTAGTAAAAGTGCTGGAGTTTTGGGAGGTGGGGAGCTATTGCAGGATGTGGACAATTCCAGGCCTTCTACCTGCATCAAAAGGGCAGGATGTCATGCAACGGGCCTAAACACCTAGTTTGCGAAAGGCCTCATCTTTGTAATTTACATCTGATGGTTTTATGGTTCTACCTCTATATTTCTGTAACTCCAACTCTGGACCTTTCGGTCTCAGCTCTTTAAGCTGCGGAGTCGCATGCAGTTGCTGTGCCCACCCCTTCCCACCTCCTGCCCAGTCATAAAGTGTTTTGTATTATGTGAACTCATTCACAAAGTACAAAGTTTATGGGCAGCAAGGGGAGGGGCAGGCAGAGCTGCTGTGTGTGAGAAGACAGCGTTTCTCCTCTGAGCCCCAGAGTGTAGCGATGGCTATCCTGAAGCTCTGTAAAATTGTCAGATGTAAAAAAATAAAGGAGGTCCAGGAGGTGGCATACACCTTGCTGGACTTAACTCATAGTATGCCTGCACATTTTACTAATTGGCTAAATTCCTGAAGTTCAACTTTAAGGACTGGTGAGCTGCAGTATATTATTGTTATTTTCTTGTATTTTGTGTTTAGATACATGTGCATTTTATTTAATCATACAGCAGTTTTCACAGTTCCAGCCTTTTTGCACTTGTTCTTTAGTAACGTTGAGTGGCAGCCTTGTACTTTGTATACAATGCATAACCCCCCTTTGTTTTTTCAACAGTAACTGGTCAGTCATATGAAAATATGGTAACTGAAATTATGTCTATGGGCTATGAGCGAGAACAAGTTATTGCTGCCCTTAGAGCCAGCTTTAACAACCCTGACAGGGCTGTGGAGTATCTCCTTATGGTAAGCATATATCTTCTAATTCTATCTTTTTCCAGTTGTACTGTCTATTAGTAATTGCCAATATGCACCTATTATGGCTATGTCTCTTACTTCTCTGGAGCAATTACTACTCAGAGGGAGCAGTATAACGATGAAGAAAAAAATTGTAAATGTACTTTAGATTGTAATTCAGCAATTTTAAGTGGAATCCGCTTCCTGTGAAAAGCTTTAATTGCTATTATTTTTAGTTTCTTCTTGTACAATACTCAATAGTTGTATCCATAACTGTAACATGCAGGGGTGTGGAAATTTTTTTTAAAAACTACTTGTCCAAGGATTAAATTGGGATCCAAATCTACTTGTCCTGGAAAAAAAAAATGTTTTTGTTTTTTTTTAACCAAAACTACATTTGAACCCCCAAAAAATATTTTCGGAAAGCAGTGGTGTTGGAGAGTAAAATAATGGTAGTTCCAATTTATATCACACAATATTACCACAAAGATGGTAAAAAAATATACTTAATTTTAGGGTACAAAACAGCAATAAATTACCCCTTTTTTTTTGTTTTTTCCGGTAAAAAATAAATGTTGAGGGTGCACCGAGTTTCACGTGTGCTCCTGAAATGGGGACAAACTTTAATACTCTATTTTCTATAGGTGACAAGTTTAAAGCCCCCTTATAGGTCACCAGTTTAGTGCTACAAAGGAGGTCTGGTGCTAGAATTATTGCTCTCATTCTGGTGTGCGCGGCAATATGTAACGTGTTTCACAATCAACTTTTTCATGCATAGGTGCCCTGGCGTGTGCTTTTACTTTTGTACGTGTGTACATGTTGGGGGGGGGGGGGGGCCCTTAAAAAAAAAAATGGGGGGGGGGGAGGAGGGGGTGTAATGTGCTTGGGTGTAACTGTAATTTTTTACAATTTAAAAAATATATATATTTTTACTTGCCCGCAGTAGGGCTAAAGGTTTAAAAAAAACTGCCCGGTGCCTGGAACTATATGTCCCGGGCGTCGGGCAATACAAATTGAACATGCTACACATAAAAAATAAAAATGGGTTTGATATGAGGTGTGTACTTATGCATTTTTTCTATGGCCATGACTAGTGGTACATTTCACCTCTATTTTAAAGGAAACTTGCATTGAAGGCATTATAGTGGTTCTAAAGATAGGGTGTTTTTTTTTTTACCTTAATGCATTCTATGCATTAAGGTGAAAAACCTTCATGGTGCTGCTCTGACTCTCCCCTTTATACCTACCTGAACCTGATCTCGATCCAGCGTTGTGCATGAGAACAGTGGCTCTCTCTTCTTATTGGCTCAGAGACAGCAGCAGGACCTATTGGCTGTTGCTGCTATCATTCACAGCCAGTGAGGGGGGAGCAGGGGCAGAGCCAGCTCAGTAATGAGCATGCATGAGTGCCCCAATTGCAAGTGGCTTGCTATGGGGGCACTCGGCAGGTTGGAGGAGCAGACGGTGCTGGAGGGGGATCAGAGAAGAGAAGGATCGGGGCTGCTCTGGAAAACCATTGCACTTTTAAGAAAATAAAATCTGAAGGCTTACATTCATTTTTAAATCAACAGAACAGCCAAGTATTTATCAACAAGCCTTCATAAAATAGTTCCTAACAGAGATTCATGCTTCCCACCTGTTGAGATTTGTTTCTTGAATAATTTATTATACAGATACTAGTTTTCTTGTGTTCTTTGTGGTTTTGCTCCTTGCCTTTTTGATGGGTGGGGTTGTGTGAACAGAAGTGATGTGAAAGGGATAGAGTAGGCGACATATATGACCATTTATTAATCCTGTGTGGAAATTTTGGGGCGTGACAAAGGAGAGATGGGTAGGGGATGGAGAAAGAAAGGGAAATGGAAGAGAGAAAAAAAATGAGGCAAGGTAATTACTACATTGTCATCATGGTTCCATATAATTTCAATTGTCTAAAAGGGATCTGTATGAACGGTGCATCCATCTTGGTAGTTGGTTCATACCTCCTGGTTAGATAAATGTTTGTATGTATAATCTTACACAGTTTTGTGATTGTGGGAAAAGGAAGAATAAAAACTTGCTTGTTCCAGTTCAGTGACTTGCAAGTGATTAAGGCAAGTCTTTCTGACATCTAACCACTTTCTGACATCTGTCATGCTCTTTTCAAATTAGACCTGTGCCTTGATGCCCTTAAGCCACCGATTTTGAAGTCCCTTTTTTTTCTTGCGGCCATTTTGCAGTGCAGGTTGGAATTTGGTGGCTGTCTACACATAAGTTATATGCTAATGATATCTTTTAAGGCCATTTGTAACTTAAATTACGCTGTCTAAGAAATTCAAACACTTCAAAGACAAGCTATTTTTTCGATATGTAATATATAAAATGTATGTATGTATTATTTATCATGTAAAATGATGCTCAGAAGGTTGTGAATACGAGAAACTTACACTTTTTTTTTTTTTTTTTTTTTTTTTTAAAGGGAATCCCAGGAGACAGAGAAGGTCAAGCTGGTGCTGATCCTCCCCAAGCAGTCAGTGGTCCTACCCCACCTCTGTCGGCAGGAGCTGGTGCAGCTGCAACTACAACTACAACTACACCCTCTACACCTTCTTCTGGAGGTAAATAATGTGTGTTTATGCCTGTTGAGAAGACGCTGCTTTGAATTTGTATGGACGATTGCTGGCAAAATGGTAACATAGTCAAATCGTGACTACTGATATGCATTGTAGGCTGTAGCTTAAAGATGATTTGCAGGCATGGTATGTTTTTTTACGTAGTTGCATTGGTCCTGCTTGTACCACTGTAACAGTGTAAATAATCATACCTGGCCTATACAACAAAGCTGGAAATTGGTGAAGTAGACACCACTACTTCAGTGATCTCCACTTGCTTATGGGTTCTGTACTGAGCATTTGTTGGGCTGCATTCTGAACACAGGTCTGCCACTCGGCACAGGCGCCATTCAAAGAATGCATTTTCTGAATGAATACAAAGTGTTCTGTGGACAGTGGGGAGAGTGTGACATTACCACCGCTTGTCTCCCCAACTCGTTTTCCACATCATATTTACTTGTGTTAAACTTTTTGGTAAATTTCTTCAGTTACTTTCTGATTTCCATGCCTAGGCAAAAGATGTCATACATCCCAGCAGTCTTCAGGAGGGGAGGGTTCTCAGCTCAGCCAATGTATGAGCTAAGGGCAGATGGATTCCAGGAAGTAATTGATACATAAATCAGCTCTTACTCAAGATAGCCACTGCCAGAAATGCCAGGGGATGTTTTTCAAAATGATTTCTTAGCAAAATAAAGCATGGAGAAGTAGATGGATGGGGGGAGTTTGCGTTGAATATTAACAATGAATTAAATAGCATTTTTGGTTTGTGGTGCTCAGATACAGTGCAGTTCCACTTTAAGTCAAGCTGGTCTTAGGGGAAACTATGCTGATTAGACAAGTTTTTTTCCAACCTGTTAATTTATCACAACTGTTGATACTCATAGAAATGATTTTTTAGAATGGCTAGTTCAGACAACTGTCATCTCATGTCTTTGCATATTTTTAAAGTGAACCTGATATGGGCAAATAGGTTTTTAAGGTCGCAGCAGTACTGAAGAGATGCCAGGCAACTGTGTTGGCCTCCAAATCAATTGTGAAGCCTCCATGGATTTTATACCCAGGCTGTACATTGGGCCCTGACTTCTGACCAAATTGCCTTTTCATGCCTCTAAAGCCAACGTAAGTTTGGGCATTTGACCGTTTAATGGCAAGGTGTGGAAGTGGGCAGGGGTTTAGGTCCCACATACAGGCTGGGCATAGGATCTCTGCAAGCAACGCAGATCATTGTGAAGGCCACCACAAGATGCCTGTACTTCAGCACTGTTGAAACTATGCCAGATTGGGTTTACTTTAAAAAGACAGCATGTTGACAGCAGGGCAGCAAAGAATTTTATTTTTCAGCTTACAAGGTGACATATATGTATTTTTCATTTATTTTATTTCTAGGAAATCCCCTTGATTTCTTACAGAATCAACCTCAGTTTCAGCAGATGAGACAGATTATTCAACAGAATCCTTCTCTGTTGCCGGCACTTCTACAACAAATTGGGAGGGAAAATCCCTCATTACTGCAGGTAATTTCCTTTGTCATAAAACTGCACTAGTACCCATGTAGAGTATAATGACTGGAGATTTAGTCAGGATATTGGCATCTCTCAAAGGTAATATTAAAGTGATAGTTAAACCAATAGTCCCCTATGTGATAACATATAAGTGACCGGTCCTCTTTGTGGTGTGGGGCAGTGTGTGCTGACCGTTTCCTCACTTGCTGCTGCAAAATGTAATTGCCAGTTTTTAAATTTCATTGCCGGCTTTTTTTTTTTTCCTTCACTTCATAGCTCCAAGAAGGGGCTGTCACTCACTCCACCTCTACAGTAAACAAAAGGTCAATTGGTGACTCCGCCCCTCTGTTTACTTTAGTGGCAGGGCGAATGACAGCTCCTTCTCGAAGCTATAAAGTGATGGGGAAAAAAGCTGGCAATTGCATTTAAAAACCGGCAATGACATTTAGCGGCAGCAAGTGAGGGAGTCCTGTATGCAGTGCTCCCTCACTGTATACACTGCACTGCTCCCTCACTGTATACACTGCTTACCTCCTCTCTCTTGCCTTTCTTTGCCACCACCTCAAGAATTTGATGAGTCCAAGGTAGTTTTAATTGTTGGTAGTAGGGAGTTACTACTACAAATATTACTTTTGTATATTCACAAACAGAGTTTAACTCTGGTCCTAATATAGATCTTTGTGGTCATGGTTTATTCAACTCCCTTCACATTTTATCCTGTGCTGAACCCTGATGGTGGGGGTGGTATTAAGTAGCTGGTCTTGCCTAGGGTGCAAAATAGTCCAACACCGGCTCTGGGTAGGGGAATTTTCTGAGTTGATTCCCAATAAGAGATGCACTTGTAGAATTTTAGCAGACAATGAAGTGCAGTAGTCCACTGTTTGGTGGACTGGGGGTTTGATGGTAGAAGTAGATTGTAAAAATATGAAATTCTCCTAAGTTTCAAATTAGCCTGGATGTAAAATTGCAGTAAATCTGAGTATAATGCTATCAGTCCAGTGGATTTTGCTGAGGGTATGCTGCAGGTGAGAGAAATGGTTTTTATTTGACCTATTTACAACAATTAAATGTATCTTTTGTTTTTTTTTTTCTTTTCTGTATTTCTAAGAAGTAAATACCTGACTAGAGTTTCAACTCTGTCATAAATAACTTGAGCTGGAGCTGGGTTTAAAGTGGTTGTAAAGGCTCATTCTCTCCATGAAGGTAAAAAAAACACCTGTCTGCAGCAGCCCCCCCAACACTTACCTGAGCCCCATTGCGGTCCAGCGATATAAACTAGATCCTCGGCTCTCCCTCATTGGCTGAAACAATAGCTGGAGACATTGGCTCCCATTGCTGTCAGGCACAGTCAGTGAGCTGATGAGGAAAGGGGGCTGAGCTGCAGCTCTTTGTGTGAATGGACATGCAGGGCAGCAGCTCAGGAGCGGTCCTGCATGGATGCCCACATAGCATGCTGCTTACACTGGGGGCACTCAGCAGGAGGGAGGGCCCAGGAGCTCCAGTGGGGGACCCAAGAAAAGTAGGATCAGGGCTGCTCTGCTGCACAGATTGGGTAAGTATGACATGTTTGTAATTTTTTTTTTTTTAAATGCCTTTAATATGACTTTTAACCATTAGCCGCCCGGCCAATGGCCGTTTGGCGGCTTGAAATGCGCTCCTAAATTCCGGGTGCACGCCATTTGGCGTGCTCCCGCACATGCGCAGTTTGCGGCGCAGCAGCGGGATCTGTCACGGGCCGTGCACCTCGGACACGGCCGATGACAGATCCGAGTACCGGCTCCCGTAGCTGGTACCATGTGACCTGCTGTGACCAATCACAGCAGGTCACATGATAGTTGTATACAATGGATGGCTTCATTCATGATGCCATCCATTGTATACTAGTGCCTAGCTGTGAATGGTCACAGCAGGTCACATGCACATGTCATGTGATTAGCTGTGACCAAATCACAGCTAAGCACAAAAAAAAAAAAAAAAAAAAAACTGAATGAATCGATTTCATTCAGCTAAATGCTTGCTTATAGCAAAGTAATTCTTTGCTATAAGCAAACTGTGTATAAAAAAAAAAAAAAAAAAATACTGATCACTCCCCCAAAGTAGTACAATGTTACTATGGTAACATTGTACTACTTTGGTCATAGTAAAATATGAAAAAAAAATCTTTAAAAAAAAATTAATAAAAAATTAAATATAATAAAAAAAAAAAAAAAATATATATATATTTTTTTTTTCATACTGTCACCAGTCAGTGTCCCTGTTCACCGCCATGCCAGTTATATGAAGACGCTGTACTGCACTGGTGACAGTATGTAAAAAAAAAAAAAAAAAATGGTGAAAATAATTTTTTTAATTTTTTCATTTTCCGAAAAATTATGACAAAAAAATACAACTTCAAAAAACTCGCCATGCCTCTTATGAAGTACGTCGGACTGTCTACTCTGCAAAAAGGGGTCATTTGGGAATATCTGTACTATTCTGACATTCTTGGACCTCAAGAAATTAGATTGGCTGTCAGTACTTCGGGATTGATCAATATTCAGATCTATACCATAGTTTGTGAACTCTATAACTTTCCTACAAACTAAAAAATACATCCTAATTTGGGTTATTTTCACCAAAGACATGTAGCAGAATACATCTCGGCCTAAATTTATGAAGAACAATTCTTTATTTGTAAACTTTTATAACAGAAACAAAGAAAAATGTGTGGTTTTTTTCAAAATTTTTGGTCTTTTTTTGTTAATTTAGCAAAAAATAAAAACCCCAGCGGTGATTAAATACCACCAAATGAAAGCTCTAGTTGTGTGAAGAAAATTATAAAATTTTATTTTGGGTACAGTGTTGTATGACCGCGCAATTGTCATTCAAAGTGTGAGAGCGCTGAAACCTGAAAAATGGCCTGGGCAGGAAGGTATAAAATCACACGGTATTGAAACGGTTAAAGTAATTTATATTGTCATTTTCTCATTTGATCTTATTTTTGTGTGTTTGTTTTTTTTATTCTGTTTTTTTAAACTTGGTAGTAACTGTGTACAAATACTATATTAATTGGTGCTTTCTTGCCTTTATCTTTATGGGATAGTTTTTGTATCATATTTGGTCTATTTTTATACCTTTTTTGTTTCTTTGTTTCTTACACTTTAACAGCAAATTAGTCAACACCAAGAGCAGTTCATTCAGATGTTAAATGATCCAATCCCAGAATCAGGAAGTCAGGGAGGAGGAAGGGGAGTGGCAGCTGAAGCTGGAAGTGGTCATATGAACTATATTCAAGTGACACCTCAGGAAAAGGAAGCTATTGAAAGGGTATGTACTTGTTAACATGCACACATTGGAGAGTATTTTTCAAAACTGGAGCATCCTGAATCTGGAGCAGCCATGCCGGGCAACCGATTAGCTTCTATCTTCAGCTTATTCAATTAAGCTTTAAAAATCCAAAGGTATATCTCTGCAATTTGAATGTTAAATGAAATCCAAAGTGTTTCTTAAATAAAAATATTTTTCTTTATCATACATCCCAGGATATTTGGTACCTTCACATCCATTACGATAGGGTCATGCCACCACCTTCAGCTGAGTGGACACAGGCAAAAAAAAAAAACATCAAATCTCCTCACAGACCTATAATCCCTTCTAGCTAGGCATTGCTTCAGTTTTTTTTTGCTATCTTAAGTGATGTTCATGTAAGTGCAGACTCTGCAAGAAAATAGCTTGATTCTCTAGACTCCATTTAGGAAATAGTAGACCGGATTTCTGAGTCTCTTCACTGAACACCCACGGGCAGGCTGTAATATTTCTGTCAATATTGTAGGCTGCCCATTGGGACCCTGTGCAGTGATATATTGCCTTTTGGACTGGCAGGGTGCTATGTCTCACCAGTACTTAGGACCTACCCATCCTTCAGTTTAGCTGTGAGTGGGCTAATTTATGTATTATGCCTCCTTTATTTTTAACTGTTTCCCTGTATGGATTCCACCCAAACACTTCACAGCAGTAGCAGTGTTTAGGGGTGGTCTGGTAGGCTTTAGGCACCAAGTGAAGAAGGTGGAGCATTCCTGCACCCCATGCCTGCAGTTCATGGCTGGGATGACTAGAATATGCATGTGTAGTACTACTAATGGCGTCACAGAGGGACTGAGTATTTGGGCATCTGCCATCATGGCCTCTCTACGTGAATGCATTCACAGTCGACTCACATCACGTACTGGGGAGGCAGTCTACCAGTTGCAACAGGCAGGCCATGCCTTTCAGCAGGCCATGTCACAGCAACAGTGGAAAGGTTGGCATCAAAGGGGAAAGATTCCTTGATCAAGCAGGGAGGAACTTGGACATAGCTCCCATTGCAATATATCCCCCGGGGATCTGTTTATTCCGGGCAGCTCTGACTACCCCCACTTGTCTGGTCTTTCCACTATTTCTGGTACACTTCCCTTCACTTCCTTTGTGTCAAGGCAGGAACTCTCATCTACTATTGCTGGATTGCAACACCAGCTCTCTGGAACCCTTTCCAGTTTGGACCATATCAGTTGCAAACACAGGGGTACCCCCTCTTCCTCATTCACTCATTGATGGAGGAGGAAGAGTGAATTCCAGTGAGGTGGATGTGGAAGATTCCCCATCTGAGAAATCCCACGGTCCCTTTTTTTTTTTTTTTTTTTATCTCAGACCCAAAATGCTTTTGTGGGTTTTCTTGTGGAAGTGGTCCGGACTAATTTAAAGCCGAGTCCTCTGCCATGAGGATTACAGAATTTGGATTATGGCATGCACCACAGCATCCTCAATCTTTTCCTGTACATCCACATTTAAAGGATGTACTATATACAGATTGGGCTCACCCTGGCAAGGTGTTTTGTTTCACTAAAGCGATTTTTTTCTGCAACACCCCATGTCAAGAGCTTTTGCTTAGAAATGGAGTACTCCTATGCTAGATCTGGCAGTTTACTATTTTATGGTTCCAGTAGATGAGAGCCCAGTGCTTCAGATAAACGTCAAGAGACCTTAGTTTTACCCAACCCACCCATAGTCAAAATATGTCCTAGGCTGGAAGTGGAATACCAGGCTTATGGCTGCAGCAATGTGCGATAACTCGGGTATTATTTTTTTCAGTTGGTGATTCCATTTCTGCTTAAAGTTATCCGTGCAGTGGATTTGCTTCTGGATCACTTTTAGAAGCGGTGAGATGGGCATTCCCCCCCCTTCCTGCTGCTTTCTGGTGGTTTTGGGGCTTCCTGCCTAATGTAAACAAGGTTGTGTTTGTTTTTTTTTTTTTTTTTGTTTTTTCAGTCTAATGCTTTACATTGTGGAGGATGTGTGGTCTTATTGACCCCAGATCTCTCCATAAAGAGGACCTGTCACTGCTTAATACTATCACAATGGAAGTTTACATGTTTTTTTTGTTTTTTTTTTTAACCGCTTGCCGCCCTGCCACTGTATATATACGTGTGCAGGGCGGCACTGGGGCACAAAACCACGTTTTAAAACTGGTTCCGCGCTCCCGGCGTTTTTGCCGTCAGGGGCGCGCGCGCGCTCCCGCCGACCCGCGGGTGACACAATTCGATCCCGGAGGGATCAATCATTAAATTTCAGCCAGTGATGTCTGGCTGAAATCAGATGATCGGTCCCTGTCCTATCCTGTCCTGTGTTGACATTTACACAGGATATGATGTCATTCTTCTCTGCCTGGACACATTCCGTTCCAGACAGAGAAGAAGACACAGTAAACGTGAGTAAAAACACTACACATTTATAGTTAGTTAGAACACACCTAGGTCACATTTAACCCCCTGATCGCCCCCCCAGTTAACCTCTTCACTGCCCTGTCACCAGTGTCACTGATCAGTGAATCGATTTTTACTGATCACTGTATCAGTGTATCATTTGTGTGAAAAGGACGTAAATTTCGTTTGGGTACAGAATTGCATGACCGTGCAATTATCATTTGAATTAGTGCAGAGCTGTATAGCAAAAAAGGCATAAATTACAGTATCTATACCATAGTTTGTAGACGCTATAACTTTCACACAAAGCAATCAATATACACTTATTGGGATTTTTTTTTACCAAAAACATGGAGCAGAATACATTTTGGCTTAAATTTATGACTAGCTTTGAGTTTACGATATATTTTTTATAGCTGAAAGTAGAAAATATTGTTTTTTTTTCAAAAGTTTTGTGTTTTTTTTGTTTATAGCGCAAAAAATAAAAAGCGCACAGATGATAAAATACCATCAAAAGAAAGCTCTCTCTTTTTGTGTGAAAAAAAGGACGTAAATTTCGTTTGGGTACAGCATTGCATGACCGCGCAATTATCATTTGAATTAGTGCAGCGCCAAACAGCAAAAAAAGGCCTGGTCATTAAGGGGGGTAAATCCTCAGGAGCTCAAGTGGTTAACGGACAGTATAAAAATAAAAAAAAAAAGTAATTAAAAAAAAAATTTAAGTGCCCCCGTCCCCCCATGCTCTTGCGGTGGGGAATGCATACATAGGTTACACCCACATATGTAAACAGTGTTCAAACCACACATGAGGTATTGCCCTGATACCTAATGTGTGGTGACATGTTGGGTATCAAGTTACTTGGTGTAACATCATATTTAATTAAAAAAACAAATATATAACTCCTTTTTGTAAACTATTAAAGTGTATTTTTTTCCCCAAAAAACTGCTTTTAAAAAATCGCTAGGCAAATACCGTGTGACATTACTGGTATAATTTTATGAAGAAATTAGATTTTTTTTTTTTTTTTTTTAAACACATATTTATCTGCTCTGTGCAGTGGTTTTGCACAGAGCAGCCCCGATCCTCTTCTTTGGTCCCCGCCAGCGATTCTGGCTTCTCTCCCCTGAGCAGTGCCCTCATAGCAAGCAGCCTGCTATGGGAGGCACTGGTATGTGCACGCTCCTGAGCCCTGCTTTCTGCATCCCTAAGGCACAGCAGAGGGGGACTTGTCCCCACCCCCGCTTTCTCCTTACAGGCTATGATTGCTGGCAGGATCCAGTGGCTCCTGCTGCTATGTCTCAGCCAATGAGGAGGGAGAGACCCGGGAAAGCCGAGTCTCCTGTGCACATCGCTGGACTGAAATTGGGCTCATGTGAGTATTGGGGGGAGGGGGCACTTCACACTAAAGGTTTTTTTTTTTTACAATGCATGAGGGTAAAAAACCTTAAGCCTTTACAACCACTTTAAGCACACACTTCACCCCTTGATTACCCCGAGATTTTAACCCTTTTCCCATCCAGTGTCATTAGTATAGTGACCGTGTATAGCATTATCACTGATCACTGTGTTAGTGTCACTGGTGATGTCAGTGTCAGACAGTTCCCTCGCAGTGTCAGATTGCCTGCCACAATCACAGTGCCACTATAAGTCGCTGATCACCGCCATTACTGGTATAATTTATGAAGAAATTAGATTTTTTTTAAATTTTATTATCAGATATGTTTTATAGCAGACAGTAAACAGTCCTGCCGCACAGCCACGATGTTTTTAACAAGTGACAGCTTTTACAGTGAACTTCTCTCTGTACTATGGGGGGGGGGTAGTTAGGGGGATCGGGCAGAGAGCATGTTACATGTTCCACCCAAAAAACGGGTGGAAAAGGTGAACTTATCCTTTAAGGTGGTAATGTGATACCATTCCTCTGTGCAGAAGCCATAGGTGGAAAGGGGTGGATCGAAGGGTGCAGGATTCTGAATCCAATTATGTGGCTATCCCTGATCCTCTTACTCACCAGAACTTGCACCTGGCTGTTAGGGAGGCTTTACTTTTACGCATGGAGACCTCCAGGCCATCAAAAACAGCATATTTTTGAACAGGGGGATAAAGCTGGATGTCTGTTGGCTTGGTTGGCTAAGGAACAAACTGCCTTGACTACAGGCTGAGGATGGTTCTAGGATCCTTCATCAAGTCTTAATCATCGTTTTGCCGACTACTATGCAAATTTATATTCCTCTAAAGTTACCTATATGCCACAGGACCTGTCCCAGTATTTGGATCATATTGAATTGCCATCTCTCTCTCCCCAGTTCAGAGAGAACAGTTGGAGGCTCCGATTTCCTTGGACAATCCAGCAGGCAATTGGCACTCTCCAATCCGGTAAAACGCCGGGTCCGTATGGCTTTCCAATAGAGTTCTATAAAACATATTTTGAACTGGCCCTCTGTTTCCATACAATTTTTAATACACTACTCAAGATGGGAACCTTGTCCTCTTCTATGCTCCAAGCGGCAGTAGTGGTGATTTTAAAAGCCTGGGAAGGACCCGACTCACTGCTCCTCCTACTGACCAATTTCCCTGTTGAACACTGATGTGAAAATACTCACTAAGGTGCTTGCTGGGAGGCTGTGCTCGGTTATTACTACGTTAGTACACAATGATCAGACAGGCTTTATGCCAGGTAAGGTCACTGACATCAAGATACGGAGACTATTCACTCCTATATCTATGGTTCGGGACAGCAACGACCGTGGTGTGGTGCTGTCCGTGGACGACGAAAAGGCCTTCTATTCAGTTGAGTGGGAGTATTTTTGGGAAAGTGAGACGTTTCGGACTTGGCCCCAATTTTATTTCATGGGTCAGATGCCTGTACAATGTGCCATTTGCAAGAGTCTGTACTAACAATATCCTTTCTCCCCCTATTGCTCGCCAAAGGGGCACTCGGCAGGGTTGCCTGCTTTCGCCGGGTCGGTTTGCCCTGGCGTTTTGAGCCTTTGGCTTGCTTGATTCGTTCTCCAAGACCATGTGTGGAGGCTACCAGTGGGCGATTAGGAGGATAGGGTTTCCTTGTATGCGGATGACACTTTTGTATCTGAAGGGACTGTGATTCGTCTCTTAAAGCGGCACTTGACCTTATCTATCGCTTTTGTAGTTACTCTGGGATACGTGTAAACTGGGAGAAATCAATACTATTTCCTCTTATGTCGGGACCTTTGCCTGATATATCATTTGCCCCTATTTGATCGGTCTCCAAATTTAAATACTTGGTTGTGATGGTTCAGCGTGACCTGACTAAATACCTCTCAGAAAAACTTCATCCTCTCTTACAACAATTTCAAGTTAAATGTAATGCCTGGTCTTCCCTTTTATTAGCACCATAGACTGAGTGAATCTTTGTAAAATGATATTCCTACCTAAATATCTTTACTTTTTTTGACACGCCGGTACAAATTCCGCAGTCACTTTTCCGTTGCACGGATGGTATTGTTTCTGTGTTTCTCTGGGCTGGGAGGGCCCCTAGACTTTCCCAATCTACCTTGCACTTACCCATTGATCGTGGTGGCCTGGCACTACCTAAGCTGATTTTATACTATTGGGCTGCTGTTTTGGTCACGGTGCGCTGGTGGTTCTCCCGGGCCTAGGGATGATGCACGCTGATCCTGGAGGTGGCTGCATTGGGCTTTTATGCACAACTTAGCAACTTGGTTTATAGGGGTCCGAAGTCCAACCCAGACATCACTTTTCCCATGCTGACGACCTTGAAGGTGTGGAGACAGGCTAGGGTTCAGTACAGCGTATTTAATACCTACTCCCCTTATACGCTGCTTTGGGGCAACCCTACACTCCCCCACTTGCTCACGATACCAGATCCAGTGGTGTGTGCTCGATATGGCATAAAAACGTTGAGAAATATTATGCCCCGTGGTGTCCTGTTTTCCATTTTAATGACCTTAAACACAACCATGGTCTGCCTAATCGGATGTTTTTCCGGTTTCTTCAATTACAACATGCTCCTTGCTGCCCAATTTCCTACTCCTGCTGTACAGATTGACCCTTTAGAAAGTTTGATAGAAGAGGACTTTCCTAAACCTCTGTCCTCTCTCCACTCCCTGCTGCTACACCTATCTACCCCTAGAATACAGTCGCTCTACAGTAAATGGCACGCAGACCATCCATCCCTGTCGGAGGATGATTGGGAGGATTGTCTTTTGCAATGCCTCCCTACTATGATCTTAGCCAGGGATCGTTTTATACAACTAAAATTTGTCCATAGAGCATATTACACCCCACCCCGTAGTGACTGGTAGTGATATATCCTGGTAGATCGGATGAATGTCCTGGTTGTGATATGTTGGTTGGCACGGTTAATCATATGTTTTGCGAATGTACGAAGCTGTGTTCCTTTTGGACCGGGGTATTAAATACTTATAATGCTGTTGGTAAACTGTCCCCATGGATCCGCTGATTATGTTGTTAGGCCTTACTGACCTCGTAGAAGCTCCTAAGCATAGCAAACTCTGTGTTTTTATTCTCTGTTATGTTATAAGAGACAGTTTGTTGGGATGGAAGTTGTTTATCCCACCCACGATCTCGGGTTGGAAGATGGTGCACTTCCATTGTATAAACTTACATATATGAGTCACAATTGTCCAGCTAAATTTTGATAAAATTTGGGCGGGGTGGGTGGAGGCACAGGGCCTTGCGATATAAACCATGGTGTTTTCCACATTGGGACTGGAACAAGTTTTTATTATTTGTCTGATTTGCCGCTATTTGTGTAATCTGTCTCTCTCCTATACTCCTTTTTTTTTTTTTTTTTTTCCTTCCCCTCCCCCTTTCTTTTCCATCTTGCTCTTTCCCACTCCCTTTTCCCTCCTTCGTCAGCTTACGCTCTATGATTTTCTTCTCCTTCCCTTAGCGGGTTGTTACTAGCTAGACCATAATGTGTATGCGATTACTGAGTCTGCTCAGGATACCAGGTTGATTCTGTAAGATTCTCAGCTTTGGAAGTTAGTATATACTGCTATTTACTGTATGCCACGTGGTTGACCGTTTTGATGTACCTTACATTGTTTTGTACTTTTGTAAGATTTCAATAAATGCAACTGTTTTAAAAGAAAAAAAAAAAAAAAAACAAACTTGCTTCTAACGTTTTTACTTTTTTTAGCTGGCTTCTAGATTCAAAGCAAATTTGTCAGGCCCTGGTGTCTTCACAGTAGTCCTATGTCCATGGCTGTGTGTAAAGGTGTCATACAGATCAGTTACCCTTATGAGGGCATTTATTAATTTTTTTACTTTTTACCAATTTTGAATTTTATTTCATGTGCAGCGCTGCATATCTGTTTTTATTATGCTTGTTAAGGGTTTTTTCCTTTTATGCTAGCAGCTTTTTACATTTATGATTTATGTGCGCTCACTCTGATCCTTTGTTGTTGATTTGTAACTTTGCTGTCTTGTATGGAAACCAAGTAAATGGACACAAGTTCAAAAATTGCAGTACTGGAGATGGATAATCGGACAGTGTTTTTTCAGTCTTGCAGAATATGGTTTGTGTTAATGCATTTGCTATCTCCTTCCTACAATGTATAACTTGCTAACAATGCTTTTTACCTTTTTTATTTTGCAGCTAAAAGCATTAGGATTTCCTGAGGGACTGGTGATACAGGCATATTTTGCATGTGAGAAGAATGAAAACCTGGCTGCCAATTTTCTCCTACAGCAGAACTTTGATGATGATTGAAAAAGACTATTTTTTATCTCACTTCACACCAGTGCATTACACTAACTTTGCTCACTGGATTTACTGGGATGATTTGGGCTCATATCCACAATATTTGGTGTACAATAGTCAAGGGGGGGGGTGGGTTAGGGAAATATTGGAAAAGCTAGGATATAATGCAAAAATCTGCTATAATTGAGCAGTTGCAGCAATGATTGTGTGTTATGGGAAAGATTATTAAAGACGAAATTTGAAAATATAGCTTCTGCAAGCATTTTTCCCTTCTGAATACCATCTGCTACTTTACATATATTTTATTTTTTCACTAGTATATTTAGATCCAGAAATTTAGTGTAATGCCCTGCCTCTCGTTTTCTTTCTAACATACCTTGGTATTGAAAAAAACTGGTGCTATTGGAGGTATTTGCAATTCGCAGTAGCACCAGCTTGTGACCTTGTAAGACTTTAGGGCTTTAAGGAAGACTTATGAAATGTAAATGCCAAACTATAGATAGGTGATAATTTGCCTGAAATTAGTGCACAGAACACCTTTTGTACATGGCAGATGCTGTGAAAATGGGTTCAGAAGCACTTTCTTCCAATAAATAATCTTTACTGATATATTTAAGTAAATCCCTGATCATTGGGTGTGAAGTAGCCACTTTCTGTTCTGGCTGACAAAACAATGTGTTTTTTTTTTTTTTTTTTTTTTTTTTGTTTTGTTTTGTTTTTTCCTTACCGTTAATTGAAATGGATAGCTTTCTAATTGCTCATTCTCTTCAATTTTTACATTGCAGTAAAGGTTTTAAAACAACTTTGCATGTTTTTTTTGGTTTTGATGGAGCCCACTTGCTGTGTTTTAAGTAACATTTTTTCCAGTGATCACTTAATTTCCATGTCAGATGACATTGTGCAACCTGTTCTTACTGTCAGCTCATTTACCCTATACTTCTCCTGAATGAACACTTAATGCCAACCAGACCCATATCAATATGAGCTGCTTAATGTGAGAAGCTGGCAGAAGGGTTTTTGCACTGTTTTACTTTTCATCCCCCTGTAGCAAAATATTCTGTAAGAGTTATTCTGCTATAAAGCTGGCATGACAGAGCTTGAGAGGTCAACACATCCTCTGATATTTTTAAAGGGCATGGCATATAATTGAACTGTTAGGACTATTTGTGTATGTACCACTTATATACTTTGGACGAATGGACAGATGGACAATCGGCAAAAACAAACAAAAACTAAAAAAGATATGCACAACATTAAAAGTTCTCCTTGTACAGTGTGTGGTTAAAATTATTTGCTGTTCCACCTGATTGTATGCTTTCTATGATAGAATGGGCTCGTGTCTGTCAATAGCCAACTTGCGTTTTGATGGTGTGTTTTTAATAGTTTACAAATCTTCACTCAAATCTTACAAAGATAATCTATATATAACTTGCTAATCAGGACATAACTGTTTGACTTGATCAGAAGAGGAAAGAGCTGCAGAGCCATTTGATTCTTGCAGTAGGTAGAATGTTTTCATCTGTGAAGCTCCGTGTACATCTGTGTAGTGTGTTAATGTTGTGCTGTAATGTGCATTGCATTAAGGTAGCCATTTGTGTGAATGGGCTCTTTAACACACTGGAATGTACAAAAGCATGCGTGCACCATTTTTCAATTGCAACCCACTACAACATAATGTTACCATGTGTTGCAATGCTGGTGCGTTGGGTGGGTGTTCAAAATGAACATATGTGCCATGCACTGCAGTAATAGTGTAAAAGCATAAATCTGCATTGGTAGTACAATACTACAGTGAGGAACAGAAATATATGAACACCCTGCGATTTTGCAAGTTCTCCCACTTAGAAATCATGGAGGGGTCTGAAATTCACATTGTAGGTGCATTCCCACTCTGAGAGACAGAATTTAAAAAAAAATTCAGGAAATCGCATTGTATGATTTTTAAAGAATGTATTTGTCTTGCAGAAATTTAAAAAAAATTACAGAGGTCAAACGTTTCCTGTAGTTCTTGACCAGGTTTGCACACACTGAAACAGGGATTTTGGCCCACTCCTCCACACAGATCTCTAGATCTGTCAGGTTTCGGGGCTGTTGTTGAGCACCACAGAGTTTCAGCTCCCTCCAAAGATGTTCTATTGGATTTAGGTCTGGAGACTGGCTAGGCCACTCCAGAACCTTGATGTGCTTCTTACGGAGCCACTCCTTGGTTATCCTGGCTGTGTGCTTCGGGTCGTTGTTATGTTGGAAGACCCAGCCACGACCCATCTTCAATGCTCTGACTGAGGGAAGAAGGTTGTTGTTCAAAATCTCACAATAAATGGCCCCATTCATCCTCTCCTTAATACAGTGCAGTTGTCCTGTCCCCTTCGCAGAAAATCACCCACAAAGCATGATGTTACCACCCCCATGCTTCACAGTAGGGATGGTGTTCTTGGGATGCAACTCATCCTTCTTTTTCCTCCAAACATGACAAGTGAAGTTTAGACCAAAAAGTTCTACTTTGGTCTCATCTGACCACATGACTTTCTCCCATGCCTCCTCTGGATCATCCAGATGATCATTGGCAAACTTCAGATGGGCCTGGACATGTGATGACTTGAGCAGGGGAACCTTCCATGCAATGCATGTTTTGAAACCATGACGGCATAGTGTTCTACCAACAGTGATCTTTGAAACTGTGGTCCCAGCTCTCTTCATGTCATTGACCAGATTCTCCCTTGTAGTTCTGGGCTGATTCCTCACCTTTCTTATCAGTGATACCCCACGAGGTGAGATCTTGCATGGAGCCCCAGTCCGAGGGAGAATGACAGTCGTCTTTAGCCTCTTCCATTTTCTAACAATTGCTCCAACAGTTGATCTATTTTCACCAAGCTGCTTGGCAATTGCACCGTAGCCCTTTCTAGCCTTGTGGAGGTCCACAATTTTGTCTCTGGTGTCTTTTGACAGCTCTTTTGTCTTGCCCATGGTAGTAGTTGGCGTCTGACTGACTGGGATGGACAGGTGTCTTTAAAGAGCTCAGACAGGTGCTACTAAGTTAGATTAATGAGTGGAGTAGAGGTGGACTTTTTAAAGGCACAGTAACAGGTCTTTGAGAGCCAGAATTCTGTGTTCATATACTTATGTTCAGCAGTGCAAGACAAATAAATTCTTTAAAAATCATACAATGTGATTTTCCTGAATTTTATTTTTTTAAATTCTGTCTCTCAGAGTGGGAATGCACCTACAATGTGAATTTCAGACCCCTCCATGATTTCTAAGTGGGAGAACTTGCAAAATTGCAGGGTGTTCAAATACTTCTGTTCCTCACTGTATATGCACGTTACTGTGCAAACGTTTCAGGCAGGTGTGAAAAAAAAGCTGTAAATTAAAAAATGCTCGCAGGTATAGAATTGTTAATACCATTTATCAATTAACAAACTTAAAACTAAATGAACAGAAGAGAAATTCAAATCAAAACCAACCTTTGCTTTCAAAACCGCATTAATTCTTCTAGGTACACTTGTAGACAGTTTTTGAAGGAACTTGGCAGGGTAGGTTGTTCCAAACATCTGTACCAACCACAGATCTTGATTTAGGCTGCCTCATATCCTTCTGTCTGTTCCTGTAATCCCAAACAGACTGGGAAGATGTTGAGATCAAGGTTCTGTGGGGGGCAAACAATCACTTCCAGGTTGTCTTGTTCTGAAGTTTGTTAAAGCGGAGTTCCACCCAAAAAGGAAAGTTCCGCTTTAATGCTTTGTCCCGCACTCCCCATTAAGGATTGGCACCTTTTGGGGAGTGGGAACCCGCTCCCACTTCCGCTGCGATTGACTAGGCGATCAGAAGCGTAAGTTGTCCTCCCCCCCCCCCCCCCCCCCCCCCCCTCTCTCTCCCCGTAGTCTTCTGGGACACATGACAGGTCCCAGAAAACTATGGGGGCCATTCACAAAGCGCAGCACTTCAAGCGCATGCGCAGTGGGCACCCGCTGTGAAGCCGCAAGCTGTCACAGCCGGGTGCCCTCACTGAAGATGCCGGGGCGAGAAGATGGCTGGTGAAACCAGTGTTGGTGAAGACACTGCGGGACTGAGGGACAGGTAGCTAAGTGGCTGTATTTTAAAAGTCAGCAGCTACAGTTTTTTTTTTTTTTTTTTTTCCCAGCTGGGACTCTACTTTAATGACATTGGCTATATGTTTGGGGTTGCTTTAGAATAAATTTAGGGCCAATCGCATGTCTCCCTGATGGTAGGAAATGTATAAGTATCTGCCTGTATTTCTCACCATTGAGGACACCATTGATCCTGACCAAATCTCCAACTCCATTTGAAGAAATGTAGCCCCAAACTCATAAGGAACCTCCACCATGCTTCACTGTTGCCTGCAGACACTCATTATTGCATCACTCTTCAGTCGTTTGGCAAGCAAACTGCCTCCTGCTACAGCCAAATATTTCAGATTTTGATTCATCAGTCTAGAGCACCTTCTGCCATTTTGTGCACCCCAGTTTCTGTTTTTATGCAGAGTTGAGTCGCTTAGCCTTGTTTCCACGTTGGAGGTATGATATTTTTTTTTTTCTGCAATTTTTTTCATGAAGACCACTTCTGGCCACACTTCTCCGGACAGCAGATTAGTGTCCCTTGGTACCACTGGTTTCCATCAGTTCTGTGCTGATGGCACTGCTGAGCATCTTCCACTGTCGAAGGGAAGTAAGCATGATGTGTCTGTCTTCTGCTGCATTAAGAGAAGTATAGGCAAAGCTGGTTTGGCTATACTTCTGTGGATCACAGGAGTGCAGTATGTTCAGGCAGATGCAGCATTGGACTGATGCTGCATTCAGGTATCTATTATGATTTTAAAAATAAATAATAAAAAAAATATATATCTCTGAAAGGATATGTTCACCTTTCTACAAAAAAAATAATGCACATTGTTTTGCAGGTTAAAAAAAAAAAGTGCATTTATTATTTTTTGTAGAAGCCTGGAAAGTATGCCAGCGATAAGCAGATCTCCATAAGACTGTCCGTGAATCTGC